AATAGGTACATGAAAAATTTGGTTTATTTCTGTATTCATAAAAAAATATGGTATGCGCTGTGTCATACCCAAGTCTATTTTATAGTTTAGCAGAATTTTTCACAGACGCGCATGGAATAGTGAAGTTGAAGCCCACAATTAACCGATGACAGCGCGCTGTTAAATATTTTTTACAACTCCCATGTATGCCGCTGTTGATAACTTACAACTTTTTCAATTTATCTAATACGTGTCAAATTGGTATTGACATATACTAGTACCGTACTTCCTCGATCATAAGCCCAGGGGCCTGAACATGTAAAATCGGGAAAATTAGGGGGTGGGCTTATACTCGAGGACCACCTCAAAAAAGATCATTTTTGGGGGGTTTAAAATTGTAACCATCTTCCCACCCACGAACAATTATCCAAATTACATTTTTCGTTCACAGCACCAATCTCAGAAATATTACATCTTTTTGAGGGAAAAAATGCGAAACGATCGATTCATTGATTTCCACAACACTTTTTACAATAAAGAAACAAACATGTTCATAAAAATACGCACATTTTATTACAATACCGTCTGAATTTACAGTGCAAAAATGGGTAGGGTATGTGGGAAAAGTCAAAGGTACGATCATTATCTTCACTGTGGAATGTTTTCGATCGTATACAAACTTTCGATACAAAGCAATTTTCCATAATGATTTGACCTGAACAACTTCCTTTGACCTAACAGGTCACGTCTTTCGTTAACCAATCAAAATGCTGTGTTGTACAGACGAAGTTTTTCGATTATTGATGAAGTAATTTTTTCAACGCAATGCGGAAGTGAATTACCGGGATGTTAAAATGCAATATGTTGACACTGATTTTGACAAAAAACGATTTTTTCCCTAAAAGCTGTTGATTCACAATTTTTGAAAGGTAAACTGAGGATGGAGGAAGTATTTAAACCTTTCACAGCTGCAAACAAGTCATGTCGAAGAATAGGTTGCTCGTTCACTCCCCATTCACGATAATCTCAATGGACATGATTATTTGGAAAAGTAAAACAATGTTCTATGACCAGGTTTCATGACTTGACGATCATATTTTTGGCCTTTCGAAAACTAGTACTCAAAAGAAATATGGATTACTTCAGTAATGCAACATCAGGGTTCATTCTGAGTAAATAACAGAATAGAAAAGATGCAAACCATGTTCCGTACGTTCGCCCGCCATGCACTCTGAAATTAATGCGAGTTTTCTCGTAAAAGCAGGAACCAAACTACTGTACCAATCACTATTTTTATGCAATGAAATACATATGCATATTTGTAATAAATGCTATCGATGCCCAGTAAAAGACTCTGGGAAGTACGGTAGATATAATGGCACAGTATCTAGTTTGTATTTAATACGAATATTTGTTATTAAATCTTTCAAAGCAGAATGTATCACTGATCCAACACTTTTGATTAACACCTGTGTCTTGAACTGTAATATCTCAAACACTGTTGCGGATAAGGACATATAACTAGTGCTATGCTAAAGGCATTGCACAAGAGATATGACTAACATATCACATGTGGTCATATGACCTAATTAAATATGCTAAAAAAAGCTAAAAAAATAGGTAAATATACATAACTGCTACAGACATACAACCAGTACTATAAGAAAGGTCTCAAACAAACGAGATATGAGTAATGTATAGGCACATGCAACTAGTACGATGATTGTGTTGTCAGACAAGATGTACAAATATATGACCAAAATATCAATACATCATTACTACCTTATACTAAAATATGTTTGGATATTTAGAGTACTAACAAATTCCCTCTTCTGGTCCGGTTAGACTTAAAATACACGATTATTCACCTATGAGATATAATGTTTTGGTATGTGTTGGTTCTTGGTGATTTCAGTTTTGTCGTCCTATACTTTGTTTAGTAATTCAAACTTCCTTTCGATGTCAAAAACGCGAAACTCTCCCTTTTTACGCAAACAATTTTGATTGAGTTCTTAAATTTGATTGTTTTGAAGTACAAGTTGTAGTTTTCCCAGATTTGCTCATTTTAAAGCAATACATGTCATTTTCTTTACAAAACAAAATTAGATCTGCTGTTTACTGATTATCTGCCTGTGGACATAATATTTGACTTCTTCTTGGAAACTACTTATACCTGCTTGCTTTGTTACTTGATATGAATGTACATTTACCCAATTTGTAATATTGAATTTAATTCTCATTATTTTTCTTCTTCAAAAGTGCATTTACTTGTATACTTCTGAAAAAGTATTATTGAATTTCTGTCTTAAAATATAAAATGAAATTATCTGTGACCATGAATTCCATTTGTAATGCTCTGATGAATGTTTATAATGTTAATCTTTCTATTATTTATAGAAACTGACCTGAGTTTTCAGTATGTATTGGATGCCCAAGCTGAATTCAACAAAGAGGTTATGAGCCTAGCTTTCTTAGAAAAAGAACAAAATTAGTGCTGCTGTCACTTATCATTTTCGTACAAATATTGATCTTACCCGAATTGTACTACAACAGAATCCTGATAGGAATGTAACACTTGATGCATGTTAGTAAGGGCAGGGGATAAATAAAACAAACAAACACACACACAGCAAATATATTAACATCCTGTCATAAATGAAAGTGGTAGAATATGTGAAAACATTTGATGTGTCTACAATGTCTGAACAAAAACAATATTTCATTCTGAATCAGGTGGCCAAACAGGCCTATTTATTTCAATATTATTCCTGTTAGTATCTAAAAATTAAATTTTTTTTTTTTCATTATTTGGGGTGAAATGCAACTTAGGAAATAGTGCACTACCTTCACTTATTGCATGTGTTTATTTATTCCCTCCTATTTTCATGAAACAATGATGGGTTGTGTAAGAAATGAACAGCACAGTGATTTTTTGTCAACAGTACTTGAAATCATATTTAAATAAAGATTATGTTTTCTGTATGAATTAAAATGCTAAATACCCGATTTATTTGAAATTACCAATCATAATCTGAAATGCAAACTACCAGTAACATTTAATTACATTACAGCTGCAATTGAAGACTTTAACAAATAAGCTTGAATGGGGTTAACTTATTCATAGAAAGTGAGCCCTCTATGTTCATCGTGAATGTTCTACCAAAAAAACAGGAATACTGCTTTGATTCAGGACAACCTTCCATGTGCTTGCATGATTTTATATTTCAAAATAGAAATTTGTAACACTGAAATATGAGAACATCTCTCCGTAATTTATTACTGTTTTGTTGCGTGTATTTTAAAAAATAAATTATTAACAATGCATATATCTTTTTTTATGATTGACATACAATTATGTACATACAAAACTAGAATGTTTTATTTAAATTATTATACTGTTGAAAATTTTAATGAATATTTATTATCTATGATAGTTAATTTATTCTATGTCACAGATGTTATACAGAAATGACAATAAAAATAAATTGTTTCAAATGTACTACAGTGTTTTATTAATGTTCTCTGCAATCTTTCTTATAATACACTTGCTTTTCCCCTTTGCCTTCCACTGTGCACATAACAAATATCGGTTTCCACTAAAACAAATGATCTTGTAAAAGCAAACTGTAGAGGGAGCTCTTCACTTAATTCCCTTCTGGTACAACTGAAATACCACTTTGCCCCATTTGCCTTCTACAATAAACCAAGTAATTTGGATTATACAGATATTTGATGATGATGACCAGTATGTTTGGTTCTACCAACACCACTCCTAATAGTACTGTTGAAACAAAGAATGCAAGACTTGCATTCAAATTTACTCATGGCATGGATCTTTATTTCATAACAGTTTTTTTATTATTGTTGCTCATATTTTTCAATCTTTTTCTCAACCCCATAATGAGAAATTCTCTCATTGCCATTTATATATGCAT